GTTTGTCACAGCCCCTCGTTTGTTGTCCTCTTCTCCCTCTCTGCCTACGGTTTACCGGGCAGTTCTATTTGACGATATATATGCCGACATATATATGAGGATGTATATATATATATATATATAGCCTCCTGATGAGTCGGTGAAACTCCAACGAAACAGTTTGTCACAGCCCCTCGTTAGTTGTCATCTTCTCCCTCTCTGCCTACGGTTTACCGGGCAGTTCTATTTGACGATATATATATATATATATATATATATATATATATAAACTCTGACGAAACAGTTTGTCACAGCCCGTCGTCTCTTGTCCTCTTCTCCCTCTCTGCCTACGGTTTACCGGGCAGCTCTGTTTGACTATGTATATGCTCTTGCTTCTAGTGTCGCAGGGCCTCGTCATTGCTTAATGACGCACCTTGCCTGCAGCATGCGCCTCCATGACCAGGGTTGCTCGCAGCCAGCAATTCTCTTGGAATGCTTTTCCTGACTGGTGCAGGGATTTTGTTACAATTCTTCTTCTGAAGGAGAGGAATATGTTTGCACCTGTTGCCGGCAGAGGCATGCTTGAAGCAAGAAATAACCGAAAAATGGTCCATTGATTTGGAAAACCGCCCAAGGATCAAGGCCACTGCTCTGGATGCCTGCCTGGTGTAGGGGTGTACAATCGTATCCGGCAAGGCGACTCATCCCTATCAGCATTTTGAACTAGATGTCTGGGCATGCAAATCAGGATATATATACGTGCTGTTTTAGTTGATAGATAACTGAGATTATATATATTCTTGGTGGTAGGACCTTAGGGCCCTTCGTGGCCTACCCATGCAGATGCTGGTGACTGGACAGGTTGTTCGGAAACCATTCCTTAAATGCCTTTTATTGAGAGCAGAAGAAAAAGATAAAATGAAAATGTGCTGGCTGCTTGCTTTAAGCCCTGTCTTCCCTCTGCCCGCCTTGTGCCAGCCCCTTCTCCCCCTCCCTGCCTCCCTCTCTCTCTCCCCCCTACTCCGTGTGCACTCATAACCTTAACATTACTGCGAGGGTAGGCCAAATGCTTGGTGTACAGATCCTGTGTCATCGTACCATGCTATTATGGGTTGTGGGAAACCCATGATGTCAGAGATTTGGCTTGTCTTGCAGTCCAAGATAGGACTAGACAGATTGGTTCCGCTGAATGATGAAATAGCCTGGCCAAGGTCTGGAAGTAGCAATTGGGAACCTGGGTTTGTGGTTCTCGTGGTTTGGAAGCCAGGATCTGTGGACCTCCAGGCGGAGAATGGAGACTGGTAGCTGATTGTGCCTGTAATTGGCACATTCAAAGCGTTCGTTCATCATTGAACTAGGAAGTACTGTCAGAATGTACCAGCTCAGCTGAAAAGGTACGAGCGCGTGGGGAGCATGCCGGCCGCGGGGCCCGGCGGCCTTGAACCCCGATTCCTCGGAGAATGCGAGGTGAACGACGGCGTTGACGCCATCGCCGAGGAAAGAGAAGGATTCACCGAGTGCTACATGTGGTGATACGTGCGAGGTGGGAGCACCTCGTGGTCAACGGATAGACGGCGTCCGGAGCAGGGGCTTGACAGGTGAGTTGACATGGCGAGGGGACCGACTACGACGAGGCGACTTGAAGGTGGGTCTGTGGCGATCGTGAGGCGTCTAGAGCAGCGAAGGCTCTTGCGTTTCAAGATGGCGTGGAGGAGAGGCGACTGGAGGCTGATATCTGACTCCATGTTGGACAAGGGCCGGGAGAAACTTACGACTATGATGTCCCTGCTCTCATCGCATCCCCTGCCCGGACTGGAGGTTGACTGGGGGGTGACCTCTGTGATTGGATGGGTGGAAGCAACGATCCACTGCATGCTGGTTGTCATGGAGCCGTTCGAGGAGGGGCCAGCGCTAGAGTTGGATGCGTATATCGACTGGCAGCGGGCAAACGCTCTATGGAGCGACTGTCGTCAGCTCCTGGCTGAAGCACATGTGCGGGGTGCGGAGCTGATCAGGGGATTGCAGGGGGCCGGGCTTGTGATCTCGCCATCGTCTTCAACAACATCAAAGACAGCGTCATCAACGGCGCCAGTGACAGCATCAACTACGATTTGACAACGACCTTAGAAACAACATTGATTTCGACAATGACCTCAGAAACGGCATTACGTACGTCAACGATCATTGCCCATGTGCATGCCACGAAGAGTACGAATGACTTGGGGCGCTCAATAACAGAGATGGCGCATACGACGATGACATCTGATTCGGCGACATCAATCATACCAATAGTGCCTGCGACTAAGACGCTGACTTCTGCACAGGCCACCACCACTAACAACAACAACAATTACACCAACAACAATAATACTGTGCACGGCAGAGTCCGTGCGCGACCGGGAGCGACAACAACCACAACAACTATGATAATAACAACAACACTGCCGGTGACAACAACAACAACACTGCCGGTGACAACAACAACAACGATATCAACAATGACACTGACAGTGCGGTAAGTGTGACTGGGCATTCTCTTCTCCCCCCCTCCCGCCCTCCCCTTTTCTTTTTCTTCTTCCGGTTTTCTGGGGTTGGATGGTGGCGTGAAGGGGCAGGATAGTGTAAGCCAGGTTGCCAGGTCGGATAGGGTTGCACGTGATTGGTTGACTTCACCGCATCTGACCTTGGCCACATGACAACAGGGCTGGTAGGGTTTGCTCATGAGTTTGATTAGTGATTTGCCATGTGGAATTGACGATTGTAAATTCTTTTACGTTTCTATAAACATAGCTATTGACCACGTGGCAGGGCAGGAGGTGCTTTGAGAATCGGCACTGGGGCTGTTTATGCGATTGTTTTGTGCTCTGCCTCGGGGTATACCGATGTGACTTTTTTCCAAACTTTCTCCCACTTGAGCGCGCTTTCGATTAATCAGGTCTGCTGGTGGGCACGTACTTTTTGCCATTAACATAGGTTTCTACCATGTGGCAGGGCAGGAGGTGCAGTGGAGTTGGGCACCAGGGCTGTTTATGTGATCGATTTGTGCCCTGCCACGTGGGTATTTCGCTTTTGAAGTAATTTGCAACAGTGCCTTCCCCTCTTGAGTGGTTTTGTTGCGAATTGAGGGCACATCGGTGCGGGCAGCCTTAATACTGAAACCAGGTTCTGTCCAGATCTATCTCTCTTTCTCATGTTAAAGAATTGCCATGGTAGTTGTCTACGATAGGGCGAGGGTCCTAGGGTTGATATGGGCAGTCAATCCCCTCGTAGGAGGGTAATCAATGCTGCCCATACAGTAATTGCCCGTGCCTCCACAAGGGTTAAATCATTCGACTTACAATGTTTAGGGACGCTGGACCCGTTTTCCAGCAGGTGCTGCTCCCCACCAATATAGATGGAGCCCTCCCGAGAGAAAAAAAAAAAACAAAAAAAAAACATCATGGACCCTGTTCTGGATTGATCGGCAACGTCTGGGGCTCCTTTTGGGACCTGGATTTGAAGATTGGGATGCCAAACTTCTTGGACTCCTGCCGGGGTCACCAGCGCTGAGAATGATAGAGCTACCAGTGCGATGTCGGAGTTGATGTGGAGGCGGAATTGAATGGTGTAACTACATTGGTGGAACGTCAAACTGGCTCATGGAACTCCTGGTAGATGCCAAATTGGCTTGCGGAACTCGTGGTACAACGTAGAAGTGGGCTCGGAGGAAAATGTGGGTGGATCATGAACTCACGAAGTCGCAGATGAACCTTGGACTGAAGCTCACAAAACATGTTTGACAGACGCAGCGCTGGAGTGGAGGGGAGTTGATTTAGGAGACAGGTATTTTGTGTGGGTGGAATAAAGATAATAAAGCTCACAAAACATGTTTGACAGATGCAGCACTGGAGTGGAGTGGAGGGGAGTTGATTTAGGAGACATGTGTTTTGTGTGGGTGGAATAAAGATAATAAGCACCGACCTCCTGCCAATATCCTCATTAGCTGTGGGTGGAATAAAAAGATAATAAGCACCGACCTGCCAATATCCTTATTAGCTTTTTCTTTTCATAATTGAGGGAGCACTCGGTTGTTTAATGTCCTAAATTATTGACATTGTACCATGCTTTTGGCTGAAAATGATACAGACTTGAGATGCAGTTAATGATGGCAGAGTTTGCCACTGCTTCACGGACCCGCTGAGGATGATGCCGCTCGGGGGGTGTAAGTCTGTTTGCCGTAGTGGCATGCTGAATAAGCTGGAGACCCTGGGTAGCGCCGGCCCTTTAGACATTGAGGGCGTGGTGGAAAATGAGCTCCAACAATTTTGCTTTCTGTGCAGTCATGGTTGAAAGACTGAGGAATGCGATAAAGCGAAGGGGTGCTTTTCCCTCCAGAAGCGAAGGAGAGGATTTCTGAATGGCAGATGGGTGCATCAAATTAGGCAGCAACTATAGCTCGGCTAGTTCCTGGAAGAGCCAGCTTGTTCACCAGAATGGAGGGTATTATTTCAATTCTAGAAAGGCATTTAATGCTCTCTCGTGTCTGTGATTGTCCCCGTCTTAACCTAATCCTTCTCCTCTTACTTCCGTGGCTGCCTTTTGGCATGTTTGTCGTTTTCCTTTTCTCGAGTCTCATCTGGAAGTCCTCCCTTTCCTCTCTATTTCCTTACACACTCTCTCTCTCTCTCTCTCTCTCTCTCTCTCTCTCTCTCTCTCTCTCTCTCTCTCTCTCTCTCTCTCTCTCTCTC